ATCAGCCGGTTCGTGCGAACCTGTTCTTAGAATTTAATGACCTCCACGAACCGGTTGTTAACAATTAAATAAACATACTAATAAGTGTCAGTAAACGCTTTTTATGAAATAGACTAGATTAAAAGTAATATAAATTGTATATATTACATATAATATAATATAAATATATTTTACATATAATCTTTGGTTTCTATCGGGTCAATCTGGCATGCTGCTAGTGAGATAACCTGTTGTTAAAATATTTGAATCCCACCACTGAAGACAAGGTATCACAACTAATAATACCAAATATGAGGATCAGCCTGTAGCTCAGACTCTTTATATTTCCTCTGTAACCAAAACTGAAATTGGTGCAGCATAAAGGCACTACCAAGTGACTTCTCGGTCAGATGGATGATGTATTACTCTTAGTGGTAAAATCTACCTGTGATCCCATTATTGACCCGTTAACTATACTTGTAAATAATGTATGTGTTACTGGCTAATTTCTAAGTGTTCTTAAAATTGCAAACACCCTACCTATTATCTACAAAAGTGGTGATCCTGACAGTGTCGAAAAGTATTGGCCTATTTCTGTTCTGTTTGAATTTGTTCATATTATCGAGCGTATTTTATATAATCGAATCATAAATTTTTTTTCAAACATATAAGGTACTAAGAAATTTACAATTTAGTTTTAGCAAACACTAGTCTACCGAAAAGTGTCTATTGGCAATCACTACAAAGATTATTAAGGCTTATGAAGCAAAGAGATCTGTTCTGGTTTGTGGCCTAGATATAGAAAAGGCATTTGACAGTGTAAATCATTCAATATTGCTATATAAATGTGCTCATTATGGCTTAAGAGGCAATATATATATATAATATTCTAAAAACGTATTTAAATAACAAGCAATGTTACACCACAATTAACGGAACAAAATCCGTTCTCAGTGAAGCATTTCGCTGTAATACAAATGCTTGAAGTATTGAAACAAATATGTATATCACGAAAAGTCCCATGCATGACACACTAATATGCAATAAGGAGAAATGTGGTGCACACTTAGTAAAGGCAAAAAGGAAGTTATATAACGAAGACTGTCCAAGGTGAAAAAGTATGCCCAGAATAAACCAAAGAAACGTTAATGAAATAGATGTTTATAATATTTATAAAACGACGCTACCACAGCCGTGAGAATGTTTATGAAAACATCATTAGAGACTGAGTACGAGATCATTAAATACAGACTGATGCCACCGTAGCAGGGAGAAAGCTACAAGAAAAGATTACATTAATTTAGTCAAAGTTACAAAAAAGGGATATGTCGGAACTTTGATGTAAGATCCATATCAAAAATGCGAGGAGAGATACAAGTAACTAGGCTGCTGATTTACCATCTTTATCTATAACCAATGGTCAAAGTGGTTCCGAAAATCACGATGAGATTTCAAAAATCGATCAATTATGTGTTAGACCTACTTGCTGGTAGATGTATATACTATTTGGAAAGTCGTAAGAACACCAAAAAAAATCAGTATAAAAAAACCCTGTTTTGAAGCCAAAAAAAATAGAAAGTGAGTTTTCCGAGAACCAGAAAAGACTCTCCCCAGCTTAGAAGTCAGTCTCTCTGGTACTGCAGAAGCCTCCAGTCTCTGAAGAAGAAAGCCATGTCTACAACCATGTAAGTAAGTAAATAATTGCTATCTCTTTCTAGAATCGAATAACATAGTTAAGATTGAATGCATAGTGTTAAGATATGACTGGACAGATTTCATTCAAATGTAATAACTGATAACTTACTGGTAGTGTTGAGTAATTTAATGGATGTTATAGAAAGTTTAATTGAAGAGCAATTATTATCTCAAATTGATGAGATTGATAGTTTTGATATTAATATGTTCCTAGATTCTTTCAGTAATCCCAATGTAGCGGAGTATCTTGATATAGGGTATTAATTAAAGTGTTGTTGTTTTTGAAGCTCAGTCTTAGAGTCAATTCATTATTCTAACTGTAAACTTCTGTGAATTAGTGACTTGTGTACTCCACTTACGACTGTATTTTTGGATTTATAATAAATCTATTGTGACTGATGGTAAATTCGAGCTCCAATGACTAGCCTACACGCCCACCTGTTACATCAGTAGTCTTCACTGTGGAGTTTCTCAAGGCTCAGTTCTTGGCCTCCTTTTATTTATTACTTATATGAACTATTTACTCACAGTATGTCCAAGTGGCACTTGTTATTTGTACGCCGATGATAGGACTCTTATTATTGAGCCATATAATCTTGCGGAATATTTTAAAATTAGGAACAATATACTGATGTCTATTAAAGTTTGGCTTATTGAAAACTCCCTGGCTTTAAATATTAGTAAATCACAATATATAATTATATCTAGAGAACCAAATAATGAGGATTTTATTTTTAATGGTGTACCACTTCCCAAAGTTAACTCACTAAAGATTCTTGGAGTGATTATTGAAAGAAACCTTAGATTGGATGAACAAATTTTAATAATTTGAAATAAACTTGTAAGAACTATTTATATCATGAAGAGGTGTAAGAAATTTTTTTTTTTACCTGTACAGGTGATTTATCAGATTTATTATTATTACATTTTTATAGTCAAAATGACTTATTGGTTAAGTATCTGGGGTACAAATATTGATGATTTAAGACCCAGTTGGATGTTACAAAAGCGGGTTTTGAGGCTCATATTGGGGTTTCCTTATCGTGCAACTGTTATAAACAAATTCAAAGAATGTGTTTTTTTTTTCATCACTTACTAGGCCTGTGGCTTCCAAATCATTTGTGTTGCCAAAGATATCAGTACTTATAATCCTAAAATGAAATTGTTAAATTATTCTAGAGAAAGCCCTTACTCTTTACGTCACCACAATATATGTTTTTCTGTCCAAGAAGTGCATTAGCTCTAAGTGTAAAGTTTCAAATTATGCTTTCAAATATTTTTCTACATTTGGATTAATGATTGTATAAAACGTTTTACGTGTTTTGTTGTTGTTGTTTACTTATCCTACGTGGCTGTAACCTTGTAAATTGAATAAATTAGAACACCACAAATGGTATAAAATATACACGTCTGAACACTATTCAATATAATATAATAACAAATAGATTTAATTTTAGTTACAGAAGATTTAGAGCAATGCAAATCATAAACAGAACATTAACTTAAATATCCATAAAATCCTAAGTGCTTTGACATTTTCGCTGTTTGTTATTTATCAGAACTAAAAATGTTAAGTTACTATATACGTGATTAAGCTCAAAATTTAAAAAAAACTTAAAGATTATTTGAGGTTACCAGACGTAAAAGATTTGCTCTAAATTTAAATAATAATATTTAGTAACCTAAATTCTCAGTTTTAATTTCATTAGATTATTAGGATAGAAAATATCAGTATTTTAAACAATTCCAATGTAAGTAAAATATATAAAATCTCAGAATAAATTGTTATCCGCGTTGTGAGTTCTTCACCAAGTTGTTATCTGAAGATAGAGGTAAATAATAGTAAGTCTTCTTAAGAAATTTAATGCCATGTCAACAACAATTTATTATCTACTCTTGAATTTATCATACGTTTCGTCCCAGCTGAGTTTAAATATAGGAAATATTTACCCATGGTCACTCCTCAAGGTCAAAGCCAAATCCATTGAAAGTTATCATTGTTTTATCTAGCTATTGTTACGTCTCTGTTCGTTTGTTAATTTCTCGTAGAAATTTTTCCAGAGAAACTTCAGCGATACAAGTCCTTTCTTAAATATATCTAGTGTTACGACATCGAGGTCACGTGACTAGTATCACGCCACGTCATTCTCGAACTTTCACGTCTTTTCCTAAAATATCGTAATCTTTCTAGATATAAAAGACCGGCCACGAAGCGAGGGAGAGGTAGTGGGTAATTGAACAGCAGTCAGAGAGTGTGTAATTGAACTCGAGCACGTGAGACGTTCGTTGAGAATTATAGCATGATTGTTGAAATTAAGTGTATCGTAAAGTTGTATTTGGAAAGAATAAACCAGTTTCATTTAAGAAAGGACTTGTGTCGCTAAAGTTTAGTTGGAAAGAATTTACGGAAAATTAATTAACGACTGGAGGCGTAATGCTAGTTTATTCTTTCTCAGTACAACTTTGCAATGCACTTAATTTCCACACTTAAACACACGCTATAATTCTCAACGAACGATTCACACATTTATTTACTATGTCATATGGGCCTTCCTATGGAGAAGACAACTTAGGAGACTTCCCTTTGGTCTTCCTGGGATTATACAACCACACCTTGTCTCCTGGTACAAAGCTCACATCAGTAGATCTCTTATCATAACATAACTTCATCGAATCAGCAGACGTTTTCAAGTTTGAATGCACTTGATGGTGAATATTATCCATCCTTTCCAATAACACTTTCACGAATTCAGGCAACTTTTCATAAGATGGTCGTCCTGTTAACAGATCCACTGGTAACCGAAGTTCCCGACCAAACATCAACTTTGCTAGAATGTATCCAGTGGCTTCATGCTCTGCTGTCTTATAGGCCATCAACAGTGGAGGGAGTAAGACATCCCAGTCATCTTGGCGGCTATTACAAAACTTTGCCAATTCCTGTCTTTGTGTCCAGTTGTACTTTTCTACCATCCCATCGGACTGCGGGTGAAGTGTCATTGTCCTGGTCTTTCGGATGCCAAATAACTTGCAGCATTCTTGGAACACAGTTGATTCGAAGTTATGGCCTTGATTTGAATGCAGTTCATATGGCAT